ACACGCAGATAGATTGTATTGCAGCACGTAATGTTGACCAATAACTTGTTTAGGAATAAGCATGTAGAAGATAGGAACATGTTTGACAGTACATCTGTAAGATGTTATTTGCAGACAGGGTTCGTAGAAGATATTACAACGCATTTGATTTTATGCTTATCAAAGAATAATATAATGAAATATATATTTTATTTAAAAAAATAAAAATGAACATGAATGGTATTTTTATCAACTTGAGAGGCTAAAAATGGAGAGTGCATAAATTAATGTCCAAATGGAGATTCATATAGAGGGTATCTAAAAGTTGCTTGTGGAGGCCTGAATCCGAATCACACACCTAAAGATATATAAAGGAAGTTGCACGATTTATTGTAATATATGATGTGTGATTTGGATTACATTAGGTTACTTCACTATTGGAACTGCAACTTCTGGAATTTCTTCTTCCACACGCTCGCACACACATATAGAACTAATTAATGGAGACTTCAAGTTTTAGAGTGGGATTCTATAGAGAAGAGTTTATTGGTGCTACTTTTTCTTTCACATAGCTCTCTTAAATAACAGTGGTGTAGCAGTGGATTCTTTTAGGAAAAATTACATCCAACCCCAATGACGGATCCAAAAAAAATTAATCAATGGGGGCATAAGTTATACTTAAAATAAATATTACCATTTTTATAAAATAAATAATTTTAAATATCTCTTAAATTTTATTAATGTTAATAAAATTAAATATTAAAAAATGCATAAGAGATAAAATTATAATAACATAAAATACTCTCTTTATATAAATATTTTTTTATCTATTAGAATCATGATTTTAGTTTTCATTTAATAAAACTGATATACCTCTTTATATGGTAAAGAATTTTTTTTATAAGATTTTTCATGAGCAATTTTTTTAAAATTTTTATTTTTCCATTTTAAAACTATTGCTATTTAAGTTTATAAAAAAACACACACACACACACATGTATATAATTTTAGATAATGGAATAAGTAAACTTTTATAAGGGCACAAGTGAATTTTTTTGAAGTGAGGGGAGCACTTGAAATTTTTTAAAGGGAGAAATTAAAATTATTTAGGATTATTTTAAGTAATATCTTCTTGGACTAGTGGGGGCAATTGCCCCCTTTATGGTAAACATAGATACGTTCAACCCCCTTTAAAAGAATTAATTACAAATAAAAATCAATACAAAATAAATTGTTATTGAAATGAAAACATGACTTGTTTTTTCTTTTTAAATGAGACTTGTTATTGGTCCTTACTTGTAATTAATTTCCTTAGGAAGAGCTAGATGTGATTCTTCCCTTCTTTTAAATAAGAATGAATTTTAAGCCACTATTGATTGATTTGGTTAATAATAGTTTAATCTATAACTTATGAGGTATTCGGATTAAATCCCAAGCTATTAGTGTAAGGATCTTGCTTGTGATAAATTGTAAATATTTTTATAAGTGCTTTGAATTTGGAGACATGTCTTAATTGATTCTAGTGAAATCTTAAAACTCAATATGATTTTTATCTAAATATTTTTTTATTAAAAAATTATTAGGTTGTTTAAGTGTAAGTAAATTTAAGGTAATGTAAAAAGTCACATATTAAATAAATTTGATATTAATTACATTATAAAGTATAAAAACCTATAAGCTTAAGTATAAGCTTTTGAATTAAAATGTAATCTCCTTTCCTATTTTTTATTTATTTGTCCTCTCCCTTTGTTTTTGAACGGATACTATTCCTTTCTAACAAAAATAAATTAATAATTAAAATATATTTTTAATTTTTTAACTTTACATAAAAGTTTAATTTAATATATTAATTTTATAAAATATTTTTTATTTCTTTGTCTTTAGTTTTAGTCATCCAAAATCTTGCAATGCAGGGTTCACGGGGGAGCCAACGAGGAAAGAGGAAAGGTAGAGGACCCCACACGGAAATCATTATAAATAATTGAGGTGGGCCCCGCTCAAACATAATATGAATGTTGTTCCCCGTCTTCTCTCGAGGACGTCAGCACCGTACGATGATCACACGTGTACGGCTACCGAATGATTGCTCCTGGAACCAGTTTAGGACGCACTACCGAGTCAGGACCACTCGGTCTTCTACGGTCATTCCTTTTTCTTCTTCTTTTTTTTTTTAATAAAAAACTGAATATCAATTAAGAAAAACAAAAACAGAGAGATAACAAGCTTACAAAACAAACGTATAAAGTCACCTTTCGTCGTCCTCCATCTCAAATAGTAACAAAATTTGCAGGATAATCAAAGATTTTAAAAACAGAGCTATGATTATTATGACCTTTCTTAGCAACGTGAGTAAAAAAATTAATATCCTTACAGACTAAAATAATAGGTACATTCTAATCTCTATGCATAAATTCAAACGTTGAAATAAACCCCCTTGCTGCCCAACTGTTATTGCAAAAATTTATAATTTATTTAAAGGTTTAGATATTTGTTGGGAGAAGGGATTTCAAAAAATCAAAATTTGCACTGATTGTATTGAGGCAATTAACCATATTGCAAGGGAGGTTGCCCAACGTAACAATAACCATTTAAGGACATTATTATTTGAACTTTTTTTTGGGGTCAGATATTGTAAATAAAAAAAATATTTTCATTCTTTCTCTCTGTATATAGATATAAAAACATGTGAGCAGATGTAGGCAATTTGACCTAAATACTACAATTTTTTATTTATTTACCCATATACTATACTTTCAAAAGTATTTTGGGAGAATAACAATTAAGAATCTTCTAAGAATATTAATCTCAATTATGGATCATGAAATTTTAAAATCTCAGTTAAGGATCATGATCCTTAATTGTGATAAAAAAGTATAATTTGTGAGGTGGGATTTATTAACACAACTTGAGAATTCATTAATCCAATTTAAAAAAATTACTAACATATATTGTAAAAATATGAAACCCCACTTGGAAATAGAATGTTTAACAAAAAATACCAATTGAAATTTCACTAACTAAACTTGAAAATTTTTTTAACGTATATTGTAAAAAAATGAAATCTCACTTGAGAATCAATTGTTTAATAAAAAGTGACTTGTTTAAATTGATATTTTTTATTAAACAATCGATTCCCAAGTGGAGTTTCATGTTTTCACAATATACATTAAAAATTTTTTCAAGTCGAGTTAGTGAATTCTCAAGTGGCGCTTTTTGTTAAACAATTAATTTTTAAGTGGAGTTTCATATTTTCACAATATACATTAGTAATTTTTTTAAGTTGGGTTAATAAATTTTCAAGTCGCGTTAGTGAATCTCACCTCACAAATTATATTTTTTTATCACAATTAAGGACCATGATTCTTAACTGAAATTTTAAAATTTCATGTTCTATAATTAAGATTAATATTCTTAGAAGGTCCTTAATTATTGTTCTCTCAAGTATTTTTATAGATGTTACAAATTTGAGACTTGGTTTATATTAGACTGACATCCAAATTTTTTTAAATATAAAAGTACAGAACTTGACCTCAATCAAATTGAGTTCTATATTCATAATAAAAAAAAAAGGTTTATGCTTAACCCTACAAGCTCGCCACCCCAATTCTCAAGTACTGCTCCCCCAATCCCTACTTCCTCTCTCCCTCCTTGTGTGCGTGAGTCATATATATTGATGTATGTTATAAAATATGTGGAGGTGTGGTTTTTTATATAGAATAATATATTAAATTTATAATTACAATTATATATATATATATATATATTTTAAAAATATGAAATACCTTAAAGAGGATATAACATTTAAGATGAAAATCTTTGTATATAATAATAACACACAAATATATGGCTTCGTCTTCAGTGTGTAGAAAATGATTGATTCAAAAAAAAAACTAGATTGTACATATTTAATTTAAGTAATTCAATTTAATTTTAAAATTTTTATAATATTTATAAATTGATTATCTAAAAAGTCTAGATTTAATATTAATTTTTTAATAATTTTAAAAAATTTCAATTTAATGAGTACTTCTTAATGTGGATTGTTTAGGGTTAATTTGGATAATTAATTTCAATTTATAAATTTGGATTGTTTAGGTGTAATGTGAATAATTAATTTATAAAAATTATTAAAAATTTTAATTTTAAATTGAATTATCCAAATTAAATTTTTATTGTTAAATTTAAATAGTCAATTTATAAATATTAAATTTTTATTGTTCAATTTAAATAGTCAATTTATAAATATTATAAAAAAATTAAAATTCAATTGAATTACTCAAATTAAATATATAAGATCCAATTTTTTTTTTTTTTTTTTGGTTTTTGAATCAGCCAGTTCCTACACACCAAAGACAAACCCATATATTTGTGTGTTATTATTATATAAAAATATTTTCATCTTAAATGTTATATCTTCTTTAAGGTATTTCATATTTTTTGTATATATATAATTATAAATTTAATATATTATTTATATTATATATAACAAACACCCACTTATATATTAAATGAAGAAAAAAAACCACACCGCCACATATTATATATAACACACCAATGTATATGAGTCATGCACACAAGAAGGAAGAGAGGAAGTAGGAATTGGGATGACAAGCTATCTTGCAAGGCTAGGTATAGACTTTTTTTTTAATTATTAGTGTAAAACTTAGTTTTATTGAGGCTAAGTTCAATGACAAGACTAGAAAAAAAAAATATGGCAAGCAGCGATTTAAGAACAAAGGGGATACTATGATAAAAGAGTGACTGCTTTAAGATAACTTAGTTTCAAATGAGACAAGCTTAAGATGGGATTATGTAAAGGATATTGTGGATACTCCAGATGATTGATGGGAGAACAAGATATTGGTATGATGTTGTTATGTGAGGCTATGCATTTATTTTATTTATTTATGTATTCTATAATATTATTGGTAATGTATATACAGGAAAATCCATTGTATGAAAAATTTAGAAATAAAGGATTGCCTTTTGCCAACGAATTAATTAAATTGTTCAAAGATACCATGACTAATGAACTTAGAGCATGGGCACCTTCAAGTGGAGTCTTGCCTAATATTTATAATAAGAATGAAGATGAAGATGAAGATGTATATTGCCCAGGTATGGCAAATGAGGGTATTGATTTAGAAGAAGGTTTAGGAGATAGCAATGATATTTTAGGAACTACTATTAGAGTAAGCGGTGAATTCAATGAAGTAGTTCTAAATACTTCTCAAGGAACCTTAAGTGAGGTAGTTGTAAGAGGAAGAGGGGTGAAAGCAGTAGTAGTAAGAAAAGAAAAAGGAACCACATACAAGTCAAATAGTAGATGTAATGAGTATGATAGCTCAAACAACAAGGAAGAATCTTAAAAGGCTAAGAAAACATCAATTTCTTAAGTCATGTCTCTAGTCAAACAAATGAAGGAAGTTGGAGCTGACAAAAATTGGCTTTCATAATACATGTCACTCTTCATGTCCTGAGAGGCAAGGGTGATGTTTTTGACTATGAAGGATACCATTGTTGATAAATATGACCTGTTTATTTTAAACTTTCACTTTACACAATTATTAAATTGATAAATTAAATCCTATAATCAAAATCTTAAATCATAATGCCATCAATTAATGAATACTTATCAAAACATAGATAACTCAAATGTAGGTTCCACTAAAGTGGATACATCTAGGTTATTTTGGTGAGACAAGCATGAATAATGGCGCTACTCATAGAGATTCATTATTATTTAACTTAATTAGATTATCAAATGGTTTTGGATCATAAGGCATTAGGTGAGATTGAACATGTTGGATTATATGATGATTAAATTCCATAAAGATATAACAGTTACATATGATGTAATTGGTAAAAAAGTTACTTACCCAAATAACTTAATTTTTAAATGTTCTACCAAAGTGGATTTAAATTTAAGTAAAATATGGGTCTTAATCCACTAATAAAATTTGAGAATTGTTAACTTTAGTGGGGGATATAAAATTAACTTTGTATATTTTATTGTAGAATTATGTCAACTAGTAACACTGCTATATTATCACTGTGATCAGTCCTTGAAAAGGACAAACTCAATGGGATAAACTTTCTTGACTGGTTTAGGAACTTGAGAATTGTTCTCAAGCAGCAAAAATTAAAATTTTAAAATTCCTATCCCCATGTAGACCGAATGAACTCATTTAAGTCAAGGTGTAAAGAAGAATTACCATTTTATCATGCTTCACATGCGTTCTCTTCAAGAGTCTAGATCTTAAGAGCTGGCAATGTAGATCTGCTCCCTCTTTTGGCATCCACATGAACAACTCTCTAACTCAAACAGCGTACTAGCACTCTCAATGTCTGTTCATTTTTAAACATTAGTTTTCTTTTTAGCGTGCTAGCATCTTATAGTCTTTTAAATGCCTACGATTTTGATTTATATCTCTATAATTAATCAAAGTCATACTAGTCTTGTTTCATCTATGATCCTTCATAGATGACCGACTAAGGACATTTAGAACAATCACTATAGTTTATCCAAGGATACAATTATCATAATAAATATACAATTGATATGATAATAAAAAAAATTCATTACATAACAAAATATATATATTACAATGATTGGCCCTAAGGCACAATTTTTAACAAGAGTGATTGTGTTGGAGTGGTTGAGATGTGAGTGTTATAAAAATGATTGATTTTGAGGGGTTTTAGAACTAATTATGAACATATTATCTTACTTAAAAATTAGTTTGACATATTTGTATTACATTGTTGAATTTGACTTATGTATCTCTTTAAACTATTTACGTATGCTTTTTATCTATGCTGTTGAATTATTTTAATGTTGTAGAAAAGTTATTGATATTTGCATAGTTAAATTATTTAGATATATTTATAATTAAAATTAATTGCACATGTTATTTATGTGTTTGGCTATAGGTAGGAAGGAGTATAGAAGAGTCATATAAAAAAAAGGTTAAAAAGAGCTTAAAAAATTAGTGCCTTGATTAGGTTGTATGTAGTAAATATGTAGAAATAGTAAATATATAGATCATTTGTAGGTGAATGAAATCAGAGAAGGACACCCAATTTGTTGCTATGAAATTTTTAGAACGAAACCACATATGTTTCATCAATTATGCAGTTAATTGGTATGGCATAGATTGAAGGATACTAGACGAATGAGAGTTCAAGAAATGGTTACAGTATTTTTTAAATATAATTGGACATGGGTTGGGAAATAGGGTGGCACAAGAAATATTTCAACACCTAGGAGAGACTATTCATAGACATTTTTATGAAGTTTTAATGGTTTGCTCTGAACTTGCAATAGAATATATTAAATCACATGACAGGTCCCAACTAGTGAAAAATCAAAATATATTAGAAGAAAAGGAATTCTAATACAAAATATAATGGTTGTGTGTGATTGGGACGTGTACTTTACTTTTGTCTTGGCTAGATAGGAGGGTACTGTACATGATGCTCGCATTTTTGAACGTGCTTTGATAACTCAGTCAATGAACTTTCCATATTTGCCTTCAGGTATATTTATTAGTTTAATTTATTTATGTTGGACTTTTCAACTTACAAACATTGATAATAATATCTTTTTTACAAAGTGGATATTATTTGTGAATGCCGACAATCCAATACTAAATGGATATCTTGGTTCTTATAGATAGAAATGCTACCATTTTTCTAATTTTAGAATATCAACTAGATTTGCAAATCGTAATGAGGTCTTTAATTATTTTTATTTAAGTTTACGGTGCACAATAGAAAGAACATTTAGAGTTTGGAAGAATAAGTTTGTAATTTTACACAATATGCCTAGCTTCGACTATGAAATATAAGTTCACATCTAATTTTGATTTTGATTTTATGTGTTATGAAAGGGAAGATCAAATAGAGCATGATGATGAGGAAGATCATCATGTTGATAAATGTTCATCCTTACCATCATCAATAACATCTTCATTAGATATGACTTATATATAGAGATTAAATGGTGTATTGTCATCTTCATTAGTTATTATAAAATTGACGTTTAATATTTAAAAATTATATCTTTTTTTTTTATTAAATTTATTTGAACTTAGATTTATTGACTCATTTATTTACGTAAATTAAAATGTTAATATTAGTATAATTTAAATTTCTATAATTAATCAGATATATAAGTTAAATAATATATTTTAGTTCTTAAATAAAGTTTAACAAATTTAATAATATTAGATACAAATTTATCAATAATTTAATTTTAAAAAGAAATGTCCCTTATGGTAATTTTCATAAATAAAATTGATTCTAATTAAATTATTCAAATATTTTTAATTCTATTAAAAATAATTTTAAAAAAAATAGTATCCAAACAGATTGTATTATAATATAATTAATTATAATTAAAATTAATCATGTTAATAAATTATTTTTATAATTAATTATATTCAACTGAAATCCAAACAGGCTCTTATTTGTAGAAAAAATATAGATATGGAGGAAGACAAGACACCAAATACTCGACTTAGCTCTAAGGTTGAGCAACGGGCAGGATGAGCCCTAAGGGTGTAGAAGACATAATCAATTATAATCAAAATTAATCATATTAATCAATTATATTCAACTAAAATCCAAATGTGCTCTTACTTATAGAAGAAATATAGATCTAAAGAGTGTAGAAGACAAGACATCAAATATATGAATTAGCTCTAGGGTTGAGCAATGGGTGGGACGAGCCTTAAGGGTGTAGAAAAGAGAGAACAAATTTACAGTTTACATAAAAGACAAAGAAATGGGTTATTTAAAAAAGAAAAAAAGAAATGGGTGCAGGGAAGCAACTCAAGGTTCAAATCTGCTACATATAAGATAAAGAAATGGGTGTAGAAAGCTTGAGCACGATTCATATCTGCAAGTTTACTTTATAGGTCTTAACTTTGGATCTAGAGTGAAAGGAGAAGGAGATCAAGATGCAATGGGGGAGGCAGATGAGTCATGAGCAAGGCTGAGCTTTAATCTTCAACTCCAAATAAATCATGATGCCTACAACAAAGATTGAGCGAGTTCACTACCATAGAAAATACCCATACTTGACGCTTATTTTTTCCAATACTTGACGGTTTTTAACCGTCAAGTAAGGGTGCGACATATATTAAAGAAACAATACTTGACGGTTAAAAACCGTCAAGTATTAATCTTATACTTGACGATTATTTGAAAACAACCATCAAGTATATGAAGTAAATATGCACTTCCCAGCATAAATACTTGACGCTTGTTTTGGCATAAATACTTGACGCTTGTTTTGAAACAAGCGTCAAGTATTTATGGCCAATGTTCTTTTGGCCATAAATACTTGACGCTTGTTTCCTTATAACCGTCAAGTATTTACAAATACTTGACGCTTGTTTTGAAACAAGCGTCAAGTATTTTGATACTTGACGGTTATTTTGAAATAACCGTCAAGTATTAATGACATAATTTTTTTTATATGGTAGCTGCTTTTAAAGCAGCCCCCTGCATAAAGATACAGATAAAGATAAAAAACAGCCAGCCAGCAACGAAAATAATGCAATATAATGAATGTTTGTAATAGTATCTCCTATCTAATTAACATAAAAATTCCTATACATTTAACCTTAAAATCTAAACTTATTTGCAAACTAATGTTTCAAAATTAAGTGGCCTATCCCATAAAAATTGGCCCAAAAATGTGTATATAAATGTAACTAACTATTGTACCGGCCTAACTACTGTTGCTACCCACATATTGAAAACACATTGGGCCACCTCTTCAAGGACCTCTTCTACATGTGCAGTCGTATAACGAACGCAATAGACGTCCTCGAAGTACTGTAAGCAAATAGTTACAACAATTTCAAGTTAATAGGTAGCTAATTAAAATTGTTTAAAATTTATAATTGAAGTGTAATTAAATTTTATATATATACCTTGTTAGATAATGTGGTAGGGGCATGAGTGATAATGTCCTTCATGAACTTCATCAAGCAATAACCACAGTCATTGCTCTGATCTGGCTGGAATGGACACTATAAAAAAACACATATCAATGAAATTGCAAAATATAATGAGACAATTTCTTGATTAAAAACTTGACCAATTAAATGAATACCTTAACAGTGACCCATTTCTCTGAAGATTCGAATGCCCTCATCTTAGGGGACACAGTCATGTCGGTCGCAGTGCGATACAACACCACAGCTCTAAGAAGGAATTATGGAATGAATGTGAGAAATATATATGAATGAAAACTAAAATTAAAAAGAAATAACAAGTAAAAAAAATCTAACTTACTCATTAAAAAGTACCACCATATCTTCCCTGTTGCTTGGCTCTCCATTAAGGGGATCGAGATACCATATTTTTGGAGCAACGGGATTAACCACAATAAGCATCCAGTGTCCCCTAACAAAAACAGCACATGTTACCAAACAAATAAATATAAAAAAATATTTACTCGTAACAAATATTAACAACTCACCCTTGGCAGTAAGGAGCGAGAAATAAAGTATCCTTCGCTGCTCCCCTTTCTCGAAATTGATCCGAAAGCATTCTTGCTTGATTTTCAAGGGCTTCCTTTGTAATATTATTGTGGGGAGAGACATCATGAGGATTAACCAGCTTGATCTTTGACTCGAGGCCACCAGGAACCACGAATGAGGTATAAAGGTGACTTGGGTGAAAAAATATACAAGTTAATATGCTTGCATACTCACACACATAAATAATTCAAGAAATTAACTAATAAATGTTGAAGAATTACCTCATGTAGAAAGTCATCAAACTAGTGCTCGCCATATCGTGCTTGAGGATTTCATTCAAAATTTCATCCCGAACGACTTCAAATGATGCTCTACCAAATAGCCCATCGTCAAAATTAATGATATCCCCTATCGGCTCTTGACGAATCATCCTCGTAGCCGAAGCATAGGTCTCAAGAGAGTCACGGAATTTGTTTTCTACAACAGGCATAGGCACTGCATGTTGCGAAACCGTGACTGACTCTTTAGTATGGCCCGACACCTTATCCTTCAATTTGCTTTTCCCCCTTGGCTATACAATGAAAAAGTTAGACATATATATATATATATATATTAAAGATTTTAAATAATTATATAAATCATATATACCTTTTTCTTTGGTGGCAAGGGGTCCTTTGGCGGCTTTGGGTCCTTTGTCGGCTTTGGTGTACCAACCATAACAAGGTGGCTGGGCCATGCAACGAAGCTCCCCAACGCATCTCCTACCGTCTGCATCTCATCGGTAGGATAAGGTAATGGATACTTGGGGTCGATTGCAACAAGCAAGGAAACCCTAATGCAATCGGGCGGGAGGGGAAGGTTATGGATTGTGTCCCCGGCAATGTTATACACGCGTCCCGTTGCAACTACTTTGCGTGACGGATTGTCTGCTAAACAGTTGCAGTCATTCTCGCCCTAAATAAATGAAGAATGTTAGTTGTTTAGATAAAAAATTAGTTGAGCAAATTTAAAAGAGAAAATGCATTACCTCGGGTATTTTGTCTGAAGGGACTGTGCAGCTATCTTTTCCGCTGGGGCTAACGTCACCCAAAAGCCTCCCAGGGATCTGGCCCTTCAATAGCATGTCAATTAACTTTGCTTGGGCTTCTAGCTGTTGCTTCATAACAGCTTGCTCTTCTCTCAACTCTTGGACCTCGGATGAAGAAGCCGATGTTCGCTTCTTAATCTTGCCAAAGTATTGCTTCTTTGTGACACCGAAGCCAACACCCCTAACACGACCAGGGTGGTCAGGGGTCCCCAACGCTCTAGCTAAGATATCCTCATGCTCAGGAAGCTTGCCCTGTGATACTTCTTGAGAGAGGGAATCCTGTGAAAAGTAGAGCTAATTAGTATGCCTTTTAATAATCATTTATTAATTGATAGATAAGAATAACACTTACAATTTTTTCAGCAACCTCTTTCACACGAGGGTTGTCAATCACTCCATCTTTATTTGTTCGTGCCAATGCCCAGAGTCTTTGGCGGGATATAGTAACATCCGATCCCTCGGCCTCAACTTCTTTCTGCTCCACGCCTGCATACCCTAACCTCCCTGCTCTGTAAGGGTATTCATTCTTGGCCACTCTCTTCTTATTTTGGGCGCTCAGTTCCTTTAATCAATAACAAAAATATCCTGTTAGTACACATAGATATATTCAATAAAAGGCACTAAAATTTAAATTTTAGAAACATAAATACCTTAAATTCCTTCTCGCGCCGAGAGACAACAAAAGCATCCCAATCTTCTTGCTTTACTAAAGGCTGTAATAGGGGAGGAACTTGGGCTACAAATTCAGCATCAGGGTCTTTCAAATATTTTTGTGTAATAAAATGTCTGAAAGACCGTAATGCCCTCCCAGCCTTTTGAAGGACAAAATCCTTCTTGCTCTCGTCTATTTCAAATCCTGACTGTAAAATAAAATAAATATGTTAGGTGCATCAATTTATAATATTATAATAGAATATAACTTAGTCAAATGCAACTTACAGATACAGTCTCCCAAACAATGTCCTTCGTGGCTTGATCAACTTTGCGCCAAGATTTCTGCGTGATAGGTACAGTTGTCTTTGCCACAACCCCAATATAACTTATAAACTTTGCAGATTTGATGGCTTGGCCTTTCTTGTTCCACTGCACTGATATTTTTTTCCCTGCTGCTCTTGTTTTTGTGACTTCTTCCATTATTGTTAGGCCTCGCTGGATATTGTAATATTCCTGTTCCAATTTTTTTTGTGACAACGGAGCATCAGTACAAGTTGTAGCGGGATCTGATGGAGGGATTTCAGTGGACTCAGAATCTGAAGCCATTTACCTGTAACACAATAAAATTCCAAAATTAATCAACCATGATTAATTCAAAAAATTAATCAACCATGATTAATTCAAATATAATCGACTATATTAATTCAAACATGAAACAAAAATGGCATAATTAATTCAAAGGTTACATGTTCAAGTTGCTCTTTTTCGTTTCCTTGACTTGGGTTTTTTACTTCCCCCTCCTTGAAATATTTTCTTCTTATGCTGAAATAATTTACCCCTCTTTGAAATCCAAATGCCTTCATTGTGATCATTTCTCATGTATAGAGCTTCATCAACAGTGTCGTTACTTTGATTTGATGTCCCTTCGAATGGGTCATCTTCAATTGCTACATTTTCATTTATTTTTTCATGTAACATAAGAATAGACCACCCCTTATTAGCAGGGTCAGGGACATAAAACACTTGTTTGGCTTGTTGCGCTAAAATAAAAGGCTCATCCTTATACCCTTCCTTGTTTAAATTGACTTGTACAAAGCCAAATTGGTAATCAAATTTCAAGCCATTTTTTCGATCAATCCACTTGCACCCAAAGACTGGAACTCGAAAGGATATGTAATCTAAATCCCATATATGCTCAATTACACCAAAGTATGACATGTTTGCATAGATAGGATTTTTATCCTTAGTGCTGGAAATATGCATGGAATGAGCTACAAGAGTTACACCACTATTTTGCATTGTGCTCCTATCATCTTGCTCCCTTGTATAAAATGTGTATCCGTTGACAAGGTAAGCAGTGTAAGAAATGGCCTGTCTGCTTGGACCGTTAGCTAACCATCTCAATTTGTTAGAAACTGAATTGGAATCAACATTTAACTTTTGAAGAATGTGCTCCTTAAACCATCTTGTAAAAGTTTTGTTGTGTTCCCTAGCATACCAAATTTCTGATTTATTGAGATTGTCCCTCCTAAGTTCAGCCATATGCTTGTCTACATACTCTTCAACCTCTTCAGTGTTGTGCAACACATATAAGTGGGCTTGCTCCCACTGTACACTTGACATAGTAATGACTTTGTTTCCCATGATCCCTTCTCCACTTATTCTACCCATATGTCGAGACTTTGGAAGCCCAACATAGCTAATATGACTCAGGTACTCAGTACAAAAGTCAACAGCCTCTTCACAAATATACCGTTCAACAATACAACCCTCCGGTCGACTTCAATTTTTCACATAGCCTTTCAAAATCTTCATATAGCGCTCAATAGGATACATCCATCTTAAATAAGCAGGCCCGCACATTTGAACCTCCCTAACCAAGTGAACAGTTAGGTGGATCATAATATCAAAGAATGCCGGTGGAAAATACATCTCAAGCTCACACAGTGTTAATACAATTCGAGCTTGCAACCTTGGCAACTTATGTGGGTTAATCACTTTACTGCAAATGGACTTAAAAAACAAACATAACTTAGTGATCGTCCCTCGTACTTTAAGGGGTAAAATTGCACGTATAGCAACTGGAATGAAATCCTCCATTAAAACATGGAAATGTGAGACTTTAAGCCCTTCAACTTCAAATCTTTCATTGATACAATATTTTTTATATTTGAAGAGTAACCCTCAGGAACTTTAACTACATTAAGGAACTCACAAAATGCAGTTTTCTCTTTCTTAGATAGCGTATAAGCTGCCGGAGGGAGAAAGGTACGGTTCTCCTTATCTTGGGGTGCTAATTCTTCTCTTATTCCTAAAGAGACCATGTCCAACCTTGCTTTTATGCCATCTTTTGTTTTTCCTGACACTTGGAGTAAAGTCCCAATAAGACTCTCACAGACATTTTTTTCAATATGCATGACATCAAGAAAATGCCGAACATCCAAGGTGGTCCAATAAGGGAGTTCAAAGAAAATAGATCTCTTCTTCCATCCAGTTGTCCCAAGGTGCCTTGCAAATGGTTTGCCAAATTCAATATCCAAATCCTTAATCTTCTCAAACAACTCATCACCAGTTAACGGCAAAGGTGCGTTACCTTCTTCTGGATTTCCATTGAACGCTTTTCTCAACCGCCGATAATGATGTTCTTGGTGTAAAAACCTACGGTGGCTGAGGTAAACATTCTTCATCCCATATTGAAGCCTTATAGAATGTGTTCCCTCTTCACAAATAGGGCATCTAAGTTGCCCTTTAATGCTATACCCTGACAGATTGCCATAAGCAGGAAAGTCATTGATTGTACCGAAGAGCATAGCTCTTAAATTAAATCTTTCTTCTCTATACCCATCATATACCTCTATACCTGACTCCCACATGATCTTCAAGTCATCAATTAGAGGAGCCAAATATATGTCTATGTCATTCCCAGGTTGCTTGGGTCCCGCAATTAGCATGGACAACATCATATACTTGCGCTTCATACAAAGCCATGGAGGAAGGTTATAAATCACTAAAATGACTGGCCAAGTGCTGTGGCTACTACTTTGAATCCCATGAGGATTCATCCCATCGGTAGACAATGCAAGGCGTAGATTCCTACTCTCTTCCCCAAATTCAGGGTACTCATAATCAATCTTTCTCTATTGTGGAGAATCAGTAGGATGACGAAGCATGCCATCTTTTATCCTTTCATCCGCATGCCATGTTAAGTTTTTCGCAATTTCTGCTCTGCTATACATGTGTCTTAATCTAGGCACGATTAGAAAATACCATAGTGCCTTCACGGGACTTGATCCGTTCTGCTTGTAGCGTGAGGCATTACACTTCGGACACTCGGTTAACGACGCATATTCATTCCGAAATAAAAGGCAATCATTAGGGCACGAGTGTATCTTTTCATAACTCATGCTAATTGATCGCAATACTTGTTTTGCGTCATATGTTCGACAAGGAAGCTCATTTTTCTTAGGAAGTAATTCTACTTTCAAATACCCAAGCAACTCAGTAAAGCTTGCATCACTCCATCCATGTTTTGCCTTCATGTTGTACAATTTTAACACTGCTGACAACTTTAATGCACTACAACCAGCATACAACGGTGTCTCCGCATCACTTTTCAACTTCTCAAACATTTCTGGATAATCCTCGAGGTCCTCTTCAACTGCTTTGGCCATCTATTCAAGACAATCTTCCTCAAGTGTGCATGTGTCAAAATCATCAGGAGATGATGCACAGCTTTCACTATGCTTCTGGCTACAACCAATATCATCTCTTGTCTCTCCATGCATTATCCAACACTTGTAACTTTGATCCATCCCATTAATCACGAGGTGTTCTTCACAAGTATCTGGACTAACCCGCTTCACAAGACCACACTTTAAACATGGGCAAACAATCCTAGTAGGATCCTCCGCATGCTTAACTACAAGCTTAACAAAATTTGCCACCCCATCCCAATATTCCTTGGATAGACGATTGACAGACATCCATTCCTTATCCATAATTCCTAGAAAGATTAAGAGGGAAATATGATTAGTGACTTTGACTACTCTAGATAGTGGGAGAATTAGATACAAAGATCAATTAGTCAATAAGTCACTAACCACATGTTTGCACATTTCCTCTTTAATCTTGTTTAAAACTAATAATTATATTTTAATGCTAGCCATTGAAATAATTTCAACAGCATAATAACTTAAAAAAGAGAGTTTCCCGGGCCTTATCCCCTCTTCCTATTAATCTAAATGACAACAGCAACAACATCCACAATAACAAACACATAAAGTTATATTCAAGAATAATTTAAAAAAAATTGATAGTATATATAACGGCTTAAAATGAGTATTACCAGGTCTTTATGCCTTTAAAAAAATCAAGTTATCCATAATGAGACTATATATGATCCAACAACAATAATAACAACATTAATAAGAAACTCAATTTTAATTAAAATCATATTAAACCACATCAAACACTATATAAATATCAATTTAAAATATCAAAAATATTAAAAACAAGGTAATTAGGTGGTATACTATTTTCATATCCTTAATGAATCTCCTCATATCAACAAAAAAATTGGATGATCCCTTAATTCAATAATTAAGTACCCAAAAACTCAAAACTTCAAACACTCACTGAGAAGAACAATAATGCAGATCAAAATAAATAACACAAAAATTATTTATTATGTATGAAAATCAAAATCAACAACCCATACATTCAAAATGAAGATTAATGTTTGGGAAAGCAAGAACCTACCTCAACAAGAAGAGAGAACACCGACTGTGTAGAAAAACAGAGACGAGAGTCTGATGCAGAGTGATAGAGACCGAGAATCCTAACGAACGAGTGCTCATGAGACTTATGGAGGCCGAGAATCAAAAACCCCTCAAGAATCGAGACTGAAAACGTGTTTTTTGGTAGTTAGAGTGACGAAAAATGGGTTTCAATGGCTCTGGGTTTGTTTCTGAAGACGAAGGATTTGCAGAAATGGAAAGCGAAAAAGAAATCTGAAGGGAATTTAAATGACAATACTTGACGGTTATTTCATAATAACCGTCAAGTATTACATATTTGACGCTTGTTTTAAAACAACCGTCAAGTATATGGCAGACAAACTTGACGGTTATTTCAAAACAAGCGTCAAGTATGTGAAAAAATTTAATTTTTTTTCTACTATTAATTTGATGTTTGTTTATTGAAGACCGACGTGTAAATTTTTGCTTTATATGACGGTTATTTATAAAAAACGTCAAATATATATACTTGACGGTTATCTTTAAATAACCGTCAAGTATTTACTTAAATATTTGACGCTTGTTTCGTAGAAACCGTCAAGTATTCTCCGCCTTTTTTATTTGTCATTTTTTTTAAATAAATGTTAATTATAGGGCGTCAATTAT